CCCCCCCCCCCCCCCTCCCCCTCCGGAAAACACGCGTACAACTCTCTCCCCACCTGCACGAGCCCCGAGAGGGCGTCTTTGAGCTTCGTGAGCTTGCGCTTCTGGTGGGAGAGAGTGGCGCTGTTCTCCATGTCCCTCTCCGTGAGAACGCGGTAGTTGTACTCGAGCTTCTCGGTGTTGAGCTGGTACGTGGCCCGCATCTCCTCCAGCTGCTGCTCGAGAGTCTACTCTCCGTGGGATTGGGGGCGAGGAAGAACGGCGAAAGTTGCGCATTTTCACATGTCTTTTCGTGTACGTACACCTCAAATACAATATACCTGAGGCTAAGACTTTCCCGCTCCAACTCGGTTGTAGTAGGGGGAGGCGGTGAGGGGTGATATGTGTGTCTGGGGGGAGTACGCAGAACGATGCGCGGTGGGTGTTGTTTTACCAACCTCTGTTTGCGAGGAGGTCTGTTTCGGTCTCTGAATTCTCTGTTCAACAGCAGTTGTTTAACGAGTTGCGTTCGGATGGAGCTCTGTTTCAAGAATTGCACCCGCGCGCACCAACAACGTTGCTTTCTGTCGAGTTGACACGTTTTTACGAAGGCACCGGTCACAGTAGTACGGGGACATTGTCGATTAGCTCCCACCCGTCGATTATAACAGACCTTGCTGTTTCGCGACAAACACACCTATCCATGCCTTGGGCAGGCGCATACCAGCAGTCTCAGCACACCTGAATGTCGGTTTCCAGCTTGATCTTGAGCTTGGTGTGTTCCTCCCCGTCCCTCGTGAGGAGTGCCTCAATCTCTGCCTGGTACTGCTCCTGCCTCTTCTGCTTGCTCTCCATGTAAGAGAGCTCCATTTCCCTTCGTTTCTCGAACAGGCCGTCCACTTCCGCCTGTTCGCCGTCGCCACCACCGCGGCGTCCCCCGCCGTTGTCGTTGTTGTTGACATTGTTGTTGATGTCGGTGGTGTGGTGGTGTAGTGGATGATGTTGTCGTGAGCAGGTAAACCAGATACCACGCGATGCTTGCAACGTGCAACCTCAAAGAGACCACGGCATTGTAGGCTCTGGAAGAACGCCATCCGAAACCATACCTGTAGCCTCGCTTAGGGCCGTTTTATTCACAGCGTTTCCCTTCAAAATTTTTCCAAATTTCCAAATCCGGACTTTCCAGGCTTCCAAACTCAAAATGAGCTCGTTCCAATTTTTTCGGTGCCAGCAGTTGCCAATTTTTCAAGTTTCCATTTGTTCCTCAGCCGCAAATCGAGGTTCAACGGTCTACGGATTCGGAAATTTGGAAAATTTGAAAGTCAAATCGCTGTGTACAAAATGGCCCTTAATCCCAACCAAAAGGAAAACCGTAGCCCATGGCCCAACAACGACAAGCACCCCGGTGTACTGCTTCCATCGGTGAAAAAATCTGCGCATGTGTGTCTAGCAGTCAAAATGTCTCCCATATCCTGACAGTGTCGTCACCCCGCTGCCTTTCTACACGGGGAAATTCAAACAAACATATGAAAGCGTACCCCGAAACGCGAGTCTACTCCCTCCACGAGCAACCCAAGCGAGAAAGAGAGAGAACCCTCACCTCACCTTGTTCGCTGCGAGCAGCCCTTCTCTCTCCTGCAAAAACACTTCTTCGACCGCATCCAGCTCCACCTCGTACTCTTCCTGTACAACGTATGGGAACGAGCATCGGATGGAAGGAGTCCGAGGGGTTCTTGGCGGTTAAGTGCGTTACGTCACTAAACCATAGACCACGAATCGCTTCCTTTTCGAGACGAATAACAAATCCACTCCTCGCAACGATGCCACCAACACCCAGGGGTTCGTGTTAAGAAGGACTCAATTTGCAGGGTACCCGTCGACAGGCTTCTACCAGCATCGGTACACCTTCGCATTGGTCACCACGATCCTGCTATGTTGCACATATAACGTTGGGGGGAAGAGGGTGGGCTGTTTCTTACACCACCCTAGGAGCTTACGTGACACGAAGAAAACGCCTCTAATCTAACACCACCAGACTCGTACCTGTAGCTCCCTGAATTCTGTCCGCATACGCTCTAGAAGCTCCTCCACGTCCTCCGCTTGCTGCTTGAGGGCCTTGACGTACTCCTCGTCCTTAACCTTGAGCTGCACCTGGAAGTCGTTTACCAGCGCATCCTGGGGACAGCGATGCGCCACAATAACGACGTGCAGCAAACGATTTTTGTTGATCCCACCCGTCACGAGGATTTAGTTTATGTGACGGGGGAAAAGCTGATAGTTTATGTGCCACTGTCAGGTACAAAATTGTGATCAGACAGTCCATTTCTCAGTCGCCGGGGGCGTCGTTTAGGGTAATGTCACGTGTGCGCGCTGCCATGATGTGCGGCACATTCGATGGTGCTTTGGGGTTGAGGTTTTCGATAGTGAGAAGACGTGACCGATGATCGTCAGGCCCCGAAACAATGCTGTCGGGGGGAACGGTAGGGCTGTTGGGCTAATATTGCCGATAGTCTCACCTTAGAGGCGACTATCTCAGCGCAAGCGGCCTTCTGCTCCTCGATGCTTTTGTGCAGTTCCTGCGGCATGTTTTCGTCCAATAACTCGGCCCAACGCATCTCCACCGCTGCGTTCTGCTTCCCGCTGCGCACTGCTTCTTCCTGGTCGCGATTGAATGATGACGTCATCATGTCACGTCATCATGTCATGCAATGGATGTTGTTATCAACAACGCAACACCGCTGAGAGCCGAGCAAGGGTCTACTCTGTGCTCTTCTTCGTACCACCGAGGGGGAACCCAAACACAGAGAGTTCCGTAGTGCATGAAAGACTACATCCGTGGCCAACAAATCCGCGAAGGACACTTACAACGGAGAACGGCGACGCTGGTGGTAGATGGGAGAGGGTGAAACAAGCAAGGCTTGAGAAACCATGTGAAGTAGCCTTCAAACGCAAGGAAACGGGTGAACGTGTAACTGTTAGAAGGACAGCAACCCTCGCCGTTGTATCACATGCTCGCGATACTACCTGCAGTCGCTGAAGCCTCTCCTGTCGTGCGTGCTCCTCCGCCATCCGTCGTTGCGTTTCTCGGTCATCTGCAGACACACGAACGGCCGTGACGGCGTCGATGCCTCTACCTTTTTTCTTGTCCAAGTGCCCAAGAGAGTCCGCCACCTGGTTGTGGTTACATGCCGTTGTGTATGTTGTGGGGTATGTGTGTGAGAGGTATTTTCAAAAAAGGAGGCGGAGAAACAAATTTCGTCCCCACAGCAGTACAAGGTGCTTGTAGGTGGCAGTGTTTCGCACACGCTGGCTCGGGCTGTTGCTGTAGCCCATGAGGGTTCTTCGTATCCAACCATCAGCGGATTGTCGAGAAAGAGATTTAGCACGAGAGCACTGCAGAAAAGGTAACTATTTCCGACCCTCCTGCGGCAACGTAGCATCCAAAAATAAGCTACATGAACGCCACGGACGATCCATCCAATAGTCTGTATTGGCTGCACTGCTGTATGCTACCTTCGTTCTCCACCTTCGACAAAAAATTGTAAATGTGTTGAATGTAGTCTAAAAACCACCAGCGTTGATACCGCCTTGGTTCCATCTCACACCAATACATGCACCGCATGGAGAACACGTTTGTCAGACTATCTAACCGTCAACTTCTCTGGTTCTGTACCATGCAAATGCATCCGCAGTTGTCAATGTCAAGCACCTGCTGCTGACTGAGGCTACACGCCGCAGTCTCATCGTCGTTCTTTGACGTGTCCAAGCCATCCTTGTCCTGGGCGGCGATCTGCCTCTCCACGCGCAGCCTCCTCACTCGCTTCCGCTCCTCCTTGTCTGGCAAGTTCGTCGCAAACTCGAGATTATCTCGGTTCTTCGCTCGAAGAGGGGCCATGCCTGCTTGTGGCGGCCACTAATAAGCACCTCACGAACACGTTGCACAACAGGCACAGAGTGTCCGCCAACGACTCTGATGAAATAACAACAATTCCCGACTCCGAGATTATTATTGAGCCACCCTGATTACCAGGTGGCTTTAATTGACGCTAGAATTGCCTCGCCTTCGATTGATACCGGCACCAGGTCTGTTCTCTCCCTGCCTCAGCGTTTACGACCAGCAGGCGGCGGTCGTAGACGGAAGATCGTAGCCGTTACGCAATAGAGTGGAAACGCCTGCTGCTTGTCGTGAACTCCCCTATACCTCGTGCGGGCTTGCTGTGTGGCCCCCATGGCAAGGCTCGGCAGCGGCTGTTCGTGAATACTGCTCTCGCGCCTGTTTGTGTGGGGATCTAACACTGGAGCTGCACCGGGGATGCACGGATTCTTCCGGTAGATGCTCGAGGAAAGGGTGCTGTGCTTCCGTGCCCGCTTCTTCTTCCGCTGCTGACCAAACCTACGACATGATGGCTGCGGCGATGCAGCAGCAGCAGCAGCAGCAGCAGCATCCTCCAGGAGGAAGCATCTTAGGTGTTGCTCGCGAGAAGGACGACGGTGCCTTGCGGGCGTTGTGCCAGGTGTGCTCGACTTCCGGCGAAGTAGGGGAAGCCAGGAAGGTGAGAGACGTTGCCGGGGCCCGGTTCTGATATTTTTCCCGGTGTCGGAGGTGCTGGGAGAGAGAGCGGGGGGTGCGAGTGTGATGAACCCATTCAACGATTGCTGGCGACTCTCTTGCTCAGCGTGCACATCCGCAGCTTGTCGCTCGTGAAGCAAATACGCTGTTGCGTGAGAGACGAAACCTAAGATGTCATATTCAACGGGAGTCATTCGCACTAGAGCCATGACAATATCTACAATTCACGCACAGGTGGCTATTAATAGCTGTATATTCCTGCACTCGTCTTCAAGTAATCGCCCCGCAAATTTAAATTTCACCCCACACCCCACGATCCTCCAATCTCACAATCTCACACCCCAAATCTCAACTCCATCATCATCTTTCACACCCTGGATCCATATGCATACCTCCACACAAGAGAACACGCCACACACAGCAGTCACGTCGACTTTGGTGTTGATGTAATTGCTACGAACTTGACCTTGCCCACCACAAAAATAACGCAGCGGTGTGAGAGCTCAACCCAACACAGCTGTTTTTTGCCGTTGTTGTTGAACGGAAATTGTGTTGTGCAGACGCGATGATGATGATCGCACAAATTTTAGGTACAGCACTACTAGCTTTTACGAGCCTCGTCGGCACTCCTGACACACAATGTTTGCCGTTTGTGCTGGTTATGGCATTTTGGGCGACAATGCCTCCGGCCGTTGGTACAGCCTATGGCACATGACACATACATGTAGAAATTCACCGCTCAGCCCAAGAGCGGGGTCGTGGGACGCCTAGTTGTCTTCATATGAAAAAAAACGGTCCGTCTCCGCGAGGAAGCTTCTGACACGTACTGGTCCAACTGATGCGGACGCCATCCGTGGTCACAAGCCAACTACCCCAAAACACCTACAAAACACCTAGAACTACGGAATGTTCCTTTGGGACGTGCACTTCGCAGAGGACACAGATTCGCGAATGACCGAGAGGGGGACGACAACAGAAGACACAGTACCCGACGCATGGAATATCTTGCTGGTTTTCTTGCGCCCTAAAGGTTCGTCTATCGAAAGTACGAGAGTACCGACTATTTGGTNCTTCCCCCCCTCGCTTTCATTTTCTCTTAAGGTTTCCTACAAGGCCTTGTGCCGCCCCGATTCAATCGACTGCCCGAATGGAGTGTTGGATCAACGAACGGGTGGGCGATACACCCCCACCTACCCAACGACGATGCCAACTTCCGTTCGACGGGCTTTAAGTCTGTCCTTCCTGAATGCTAACGCCTCCACGTGCTTTTAACCAAACCACCGCAATAATGGCGAACGAACCAGGCGTGCGTCCTGGTGACGATCTACCGCAGGGAGAGCGACCTGTTCGCGCTCTTGCTCCGAGAGCGGCGCGACCCCCCCTCTTCCTCGTCCACGGCCGACGTCGCCGCAGGTCGGGGCGGTGGCAAGGCGGCGAGTGCCGGGCTGACTGTGCTGTGCGACATGTCGCTAGATGACGGGGTTCACTTGGAGATGCAGAGCGCCCCCCTCGTCGTCAAGGTCGTCAACACCTGTGAGTGTTTCTCTTTAATTCCTTTTTTTTATAGAGATTGTACGTAGAATCACAGAAAGACTGCTCGTTGAAGATGTAACCACGGTTGAGTTCTCTGCAGTGAGTGGGAGGAAAACCGGCTGGATACTGAGCAATTTGAGTGTTTCTATGCCTTTTCATTCACCCAGTTTGTTTCATTTTTCTTCTTGTTGCGGAGATGTTTTGGGTGCACGAGTGGGCACCCTATCGCACTAGAAGATTTTGAGCTTCGAAGCGGGGGGGGGGGGGTACTCATAGTCGTGCATGCCGTAGTCGTTAGACCATTGACCTCGCGTCCCTACAAAGCCGGGACGGAGCACGCCGGGTTCTCACCGGACCAGGCTCTCACATCACCAAGCGCGAAGCGCTGTGAGGTATTCGGCGAGTCGCATGAAGGGTGCGCTGCATCCTGCTAAGGGTTTTCGGCATCTTGTGCCTACTTCCTTGCGTACGGATGACAGCTGCGTATGACTTAATGTATTTTCTGGTGCTTTCACTTCCAGACAGTTGTAAGCACTGTGTAACTGTCTCGAGGGTGCTTGACCATTTTAACACAACGTGGTGCGATCATCCCCCTTGCGCGGAGTGAGGGTTCTCCACCCCGCACAACATGATCTACTCGACCACCATTATTGTTTACCGCCAAAAATAAAACCGGAGGTAAAAAAAAAAAAAAAAAACGGTAACCTGGTTGCCGAGTTCACGAAGTGAATTNGGGGGGGGGGGGGGGGGGGGGGGGGGGGGGGGGGGGGGGGGGGGGGGGGGGGGGGGGCGCTTAGTGTTAGCAAGTGCACTAAGATTTGGGTGCGTAGGTGGTTCTAGCCGTGCGTCGTTTGTGGTCTTCCACACTCGCCATCGCCTCAGGGTAGACCGCGCGTGTGTGCCCGTAGGAGTTGTCGGGATGTGCGAGCACCCCTGGAGTCGAATGACACCGTCGTGTGTGAGGCGGTGGAGCGCTGAAGTTTTACATTTCCAAACAACATTTCGGTGCCGAATATCGACGGTGTACAGGATATGGCACATTTGTCATTACTCTCGCGTCCTCTCGTTATTCTGCTGCGTTAGTTCTGCGGTAGGTGCATGTCCCTATGCCAACAGGTGGCAGGGTGGTTGTCCCGCCAGCAGAATCACCATTGCTCAAATAGGTTGTCGGAGCGTTCCGAGGATCGTTCTCGTGGCGACACTGCTGCTGTTGCGTGTGTCACCACCGCCACACCTCTCTCGAAAATCATCTCACGTGTACTGATCATTAGTATCACTCAGCTGCCCGTGAGGCGTATATATACATTGCGCAGGCAGAATCACTCCCACATTACGTTTGCTTGGCTCGGTTTCGTCAGGCGGCCAGAGGATAGCTTACCTGCTGGAGTTCGGCCGAGCGATGGACCTGGTGACCTTCCAGCGAGCGTTCACCTCGGCGAGGGGCTACTTCCGACAGATGCTAACCCTGCGGACTCTTGTGGCCGACTCTTTCTGGCAGGGCTTTGCTTCTGGAGCAGGTGGGCCCGCGGGTGTTTTTATTCTTATGTGTACATGTTGGATAGTCTAAAGAGTGTAATCGGGGAAGTTGGGTTAGGGATAGGGAAGGGGTCTTGGCACCCCCTCTCTGTCCTATATCCTCATTAACTTAGTTTCTCTCGAAGCCGGTCCGTGTAGTTTAGTATTGGGTGTTTGGTGATGGTGGTTGCGATTTTTGACTGTCCTAGTTGTTGGAATATTTCTGAAGGTACTCCCCTCCCCCGCTCTCCCGTATTTTGAGCCACCTTTGGCAAAGTAGGAAGGGACCCTTTGCCGTCGGTGATGGGAACAATGCTTCGTCCGCTGGAGGACGCGTGGTCTGACCGCTAAGGCATGCAAAATATAAGAGTACCCGTCCCCTCTCCACTGTGTTTCTTGTGAGAACGGGAATTTCTGATCGAGTCGAACATGAGGTCACCCAAGTAAAGCTTCCCCGAATCCTCACTCCGCGCAAGGGGGATGATCGCACCACGTTGTGTTAACATGGTCAAGCACCCTCGAGGCAGTTACACAGTGCTTATAACTGTCTCTGGAAGTGAAAGCATCAGAAAACAAATCATCATACGCAGCTGTCATCCGTACGCAAGGAAGTAAGCACAAGATGCCGAACACCCTTAGCAGGATGCAGCGCACCCTTCATGCGACTCGCCGAATATCTCACGGCGCTTCGCGCTTGGTGATGTGAGAG